TTCATGGAGGCTATTGACGCTGACCGCGGCGAGATGCTGAAATTCGCCATGGTTCTGGGCAGCGGCACAACCAGTGTGGTCGCATCAAGATCACCATACCAGTGTTCTCGGGGTGCTCCAAATCTGGATAAGTATATGGAGTGGAAGATCCATGTGTACCATTTTGTTTTGTATGTCATATTTTTCAGGATTTCTATGAGCATGGTAGTGATATGTGCGGCATCAATACTGCCAATATTGTGTTGCTCCCAAAGAAAGAGAACCCAATGGATATTAAGGATTTTAGACCCATTGCTTTGGTCCACAGTATACCCAAGCTTGCAACAGGTTCTAACAGTCTGGCTACAACATTTCATTCTGAGCCTCATACATCCTCTACAATCTGGTTTTCTGCCTAGAAGATGCATAGCTGAAAATTTTGCACTGGCAGCCGAACTGGTACAGCAGGCAAAAAAGATGAAAAAGCCAATGCTAGTGCTCAAGCTAGATTTCCAGAAAGCGTTTGACAGTGTCAGCTGGGATACTCTGAAGCTCATCCTTGCAGCCAGAGGTTTTGGAAGCAGATAGGTCAGATGGATACATGATATCCTATCAACTAGCTCATCCAGGATTATAATCAATGGATCTCTTGGGGAGAGGATATTATCAAGAAGTGGTTTAAGGCAGGGGGATGCCCTATCTCTTACCTCTTCATCCTAGTCGCCGATGTTTTGCAACAGCTTTGCAAAAGGGAACACCAAGCGGGGAACCTTAAGCACCCACTTGGAGGAGATGGACCATTCCCGATCCTGCAGTATGCGGATGACACGTTGATCTTAATGCAAGGGGACATCCAGCAAGCATGGGTTATCAAACGGATTCTACAGGCTTTCAGTGATTTCACGGGACTAAAGATCAACTACCACAAGAGCATCCTTATGCCAGTATGCCTTGACCAACAAACCTGCCAGAGTATTGCAGATGTTCTACAGTGTCAAGTGACAGCTTTCCCATGCACATACCTTGGATTATCCCTTTCTATCAACAAGATCACGCATGGCCTGTTGATGCCTGTGATTCACAAAGTGGACAAGCGTCTGGCTGGCTGGCTGGCTGGCTACTTTTCTATCTTGGGGGGGGGGGCTGACCTTGATTAACGCGGTCTTGGCAGCGATCCCCAGCTACTTCATGAGTTGTTTTTATGGCCACAACAATCTCTAGACAAGGTTGAACAAATCCTGAGGGGCTTCTTATGGCAAGGAAAGAACCAGGTCAAGGGAGGACAATGCCTTGTCGCTTGGGAAGTGGTCATGTTGCCAAAAGAGAATGGAGGGTTGAGGGTAAGAGATATTGCAACACACAACAGGGCCCTCGTTTGCAAGTTCATGGCAAAGATATTGCAGCAGCGGGAAGCTCCATGTTACAATTGGTTTGCACGCACTTACTGTCAGAGGGAAATCTCCTAGTCTCCACAAAGTCGGGACACCGCTATCTGGAGAGGCTTCAGGCCCAACTTACGAGTAGTTATGGAGGTTACCAAATGCAAGATTGGGGATGGACAGGGTACTGCATTCTAGCACGACCACTGTCTCGATTGTGGTCGGCTCATGACATGCTTCTCGACTCTTTTCTCCTTCTCCACGTCCAAGTTCTGCACAGTTGCCTCACGGTTCAGACATGGGCAATGGAGCTTTCAACTACATCCAAACCTCTCTTCCATAGCAACACAGGAGCTAGAGGGCATGTCCGCAATCTTGAGTAATGTTCAGCTACAGGAAGGTATGCCAGACACCAGAGTGCCTCTTTTGGAAAACAAATGTGCTACTACTGACTACTTCTACAAGCTGCTCACTTTTAGAAGAAAGCTTTGTACGTCAGCTAAATATATCTGGAACAGGATCATACCGCACAAGCACCGTGTTTTCTTGTGGATTGCCCTCCGGGACAGACACAACACTCGACACAATATGCTAAAAAAAGCATTGGGACAGACTTGTACCACATAACGGGTGTGATCTATGCCCAGCCGCAGAGACAATGAACCACATTTTGCTAAGATGCAAGCTAGCACAAGCCCTATGGTCCAAGCTAGAGATACAGGAACTTGCCTCATCCTCTATGGCAGCAGGTGATCTCTTAGGTTCACAGCAGTCGCGGGCTCGATACGGCACTAAGTGGCATGTTCTATTCACAGCATGCACAGTTATCCTTTGGAATGCCAGGAATGCCCAGGTGTTTGATAGGTCCTTTTGAAACGAGACAATTATACAACAAGGTTGCCGACCTCATCAGGCTATGGAGCCTGCGCGCTAAACCACATGACACGACCTCATCAAGCTATGGAGCCTGCGCGCTAAACCACATGACAGACATAACCTTTTATTGTGTGGCAAATGTTTTCGCTCCTAATTAGCCTTTTGAGAATTGCCTCTTCTTTTCCCACCCTGTGCTTTGTATCCTAATTCAGGTCTGATGATGGCCTGCTGCACACAGTGTGCAGCGTTAACATCACCTTCATGTAAATGCCTTTGGTCATCCAGGCACTTTTGCCCATTCTGAATGCATAAGGTAGAAAATGCTCTACCTTTTTATTCAAAAAAAAATATCACTCCGATATTTTTACATTCTTAGCCGATAATCATCCAAACCATATTGAGGAAGTCAATGTGGTATACCAAACAAAATATATTTACAGTAGCAATATTTGACTGGCCTCTAGTCCAATTTGCCTGGGCCTCTGGACTCTGGTCCAAAACGACATAAGCGGTCGATAAGACTATCAGTGGACAGTGGGAGAGGAAGCACAAGAGTATACTTAACTGCATAGGGGTTTAAAGGATCATTTATGGAGTAGGATCCAAGGATGGATTGAAAAATCACTCTCCACTGCTGGGAAAGAGGTTTTGGTTAAAGCGGTTGCACAAGCGGTGCCAGTCTACTCCATGTCATGTTTCAAACTGCCTAGGGGTTTGTGTGAAAAACTGAATATACTCATAAGGAAGTTTTGGTGGGGAAGCAAGGAAGGAAAACGCAAACCACATTGGGTATCTTGGAAGGATATGACACAACCAAGAAGCATGGGAGGTTTGGGTTTTAAGGATTTTGAGCTTTTCAATCTTGCTATGCTAGCTAGGCAAGCATGGCGCTTACTTCAAAACCCGGAATCCTTGAGTGCTCGTATTTTGAAAGCTGTATACTACCCTGACTCGACAATTCTTGAAGCTACCTTGGGATCCCACCCGAGCCAAATATGGAGATCTTTAATAGAAGGCCGAGACACACTAAAGCAGGGAATCATTAAGAGAATAGGCAATGGAGAAAGTACTAGAGTATGGACTGATAATTGGCTCCCACGAAGTGAGATGCTTCGCCCTTATGGCTGCTTGACAGCGAACCCCCCACAGTTTGTCTCTGAAATCATTGAAGCAACGACAGCCACATGGGATATTCAGAGGGTCCGGGAAGTTTTCTTGCCTTTTGATGCCAGAGTAATAACCAGCATACCCCTTTGCACCCGAAACATATCAGATTTCTGGGCTTGGCATTTTGAGAAAAATGGTCTTTTTAGCGTGAGATCGGTATACAATATGCTTGTGGCGACGAGGCAGCGCCGGGAAGCCTGGCTGGAAGGTCAAGCAGGCTCGTCAGGCGCTAGAGGGGAAGAGAAAGAATGGAAAACACTTTGGAAAACCCAAGTTCCCGGGAAAATTCGCATGTTCCTATGGCGGCTCTCAAAACAATCCCTGCCGACGGAAGATGTTCGGTCTCATCGACATATGTCTAACTCCTCGACATGTGGATTATGTGGTTCTCCGGATTCATGGCGCCACTCCCTACTTGAGTGCACTACATCCAGGTGTGTTTGGGCTTTAGTAGAGAATGAGATTGGGCAGTCACTTGTGGCAAATTTGGAACCCAACGCAAAACACTGCTTGTTTGCACAGATGGAGACGCTATCACATGTCCTGTTTGTCAAACTGGCAGTCATGTTATGGGCAATCTGGACGACCAGAAGAAAATCCATCCATGAAGGAATCTTCCAGAGCCCACAATCGTTGTACTCTTTCACAACGAGGTTCATTGGTGAGCTTGAACAATTAAAGGAAAGAAAACCGGAAGGGGCGCCAAGGATTCATATGAAAAGAATCAGGAGCACCCGACCACGAGCCCCACCCGCAAACTATGCTAAGGTCCATGTTGATGCAGCTGTGAGGATAGGCAGGGGTGGTCTGCCGTGACTCAAGGGGAAACTATCTAGGCAGCTGCGCACTGGTGGTGCAAGGCGTAGATGACCCGACGACGCTGGAAGCTTTGGCTTGCCTGGAGGCACTCTGCATTGCGGATGACCTCCTTTTGCAGCGTTTTGTCATATCTTCAGATGCTAAAGGGGTAGTCGAGGACATCAACCAAGGTTCGCAGGGAAAGCATGGCGCCATCATCAATGAGATCAAACTTCGTTCTATCAATTTTACTTGTAGTTTTATTCATGAAGGTCGTGAATGTAATAGGGAAGCTCATAAGTTAGCTAGACACGCTTTAAATTTAGCCACGGGGCGTCATGTGTGGTTTGGCCAACCACATGATGTAAACAAAATCCCACTCATTGTGGACTTTGATCAATAAAGACTAGGCCTTATCCCTCAAAAAAAAAACTTAACTGCAAGGACCAATGCATATATGTAGGGGCATCGAGGCTTCAGCAACTCAAAGTGTACAGGAGGACAGCAGGTAATCAACCAGAGGATAGCGCACTGGAGGAACCATATACATGTTACCAATTCCCTATGAGGATTATTTTATTACACATCATCATGAATCAAGCGTTTACGCTTAAATCCTTTTTAGCCCAACAGAATCAACATTACACCCACAACGACAAGTCGGGTAAGAAAATCAGACCACACAAGTTCATACGGGGATAGCAACGAGTTACACCTGACAACTTACGGAGTTGATACATGCATGAATCAATCAGCCAGCGCCAGCGCTACTGCTCTGGTGTACCTTTGCAAACCTGCAAATTACTCTTTCTTTGGCATGGCAGCTAGCCTGGTGTACATCCGCGCCATGGACTGGTAGCCTCTGATGTCACCGGAGCGAAGAAGATTGCCTGTGATTGCATTACACAAATGGGAAGTCAGGAAACAGCATTATGACCCAACTATACCGATATTATGGCCTGCTACTTTAAGCAGTATGACGGCTGAACAAAAACTGATTTTGGGAAATCTACACGCTTTATGTCAGGAGTTGTGCAAGCAGAGAGACTTATCACTTCCATTTTGTATAAGTTCAGATCCATGATGGAGGCCAGCGATTCCTCATGTCATGGATGCCATGTTAAATGCAGCCGTGATCGATTTGATAATCTCTCACCATTTATCCATGGATACTTGATACCCTTACCTTATAATATTCAGGGGTTTCATTAGGGTAACAGCCCACTGGTTCGTAAATCACAAATCTTGTGTAACATACCAAGTATTAAAAGCTGGCAATACTTTGAAACCTAGTATCTACCACCTCACTATAGAGGCAATTCAAAGAACCACGTCACAAAGGAGCTGAATCCATAAAGGCGACGACGTTTTCATGCGACATAGCTTGACGTACAGTGAGAACATAAACACCAATCAGTTCACCAGTAGGAAATAGCGAGTAATGTGATTAAAACGAATTCATGAGTAGGGTATGAAGCTACCTGAGTCACAGTTAAGTGGGCTGTCTGCTTCTGGATGGGCCATCAACGCAATAATGGCTCTGCAAACAGATTGTAGGGTCCATGCAGGGCTCCATGCATTTTTCAATATATCCAGGCATATTTCACCAGTCTAGAGACATAAACAATAGAAGAGAAATTGAGGAAACAGAAATTTCCCTTTAGTTTTGGATTTAGCAACAGGTACTGCTTGCTGTGTTCACATAAATGGGCCCATGGTGTATTTATGTGTTGCAGGGAATTTCAACAGTACAAACCAAACAAATAATAGTATCAAATGGGTCTATATTTATAAAACATTGATTCAGGTTATTGCAGGAAAAATTCAATAACAGGAACCAAGAAGATCAGGATTCTACCTTCTTTCAACAAGGTCAAAAAAACACAAATTCATACATATACCCCAAAATAAGCATGTATTTCAAAGAAGGCAGTATAGAAAGTAACCTTGAAGTGAACATTTGGGTGGAAAATTTTGGTGATGAAGCGGACTTGCGGAGGCAGTAGAGGATACTGCTCGGGAATTGAGAATACAAGTTGAAATACGCCACCTTCAAAAGGTGTCTCCGATGGGCCCTAACGACATAAACAGTAAGAAAAGGCATCAGTAACAAAGCTGATACTGCTCGTTCCTGCATCACCTTGAGATAGAAGCAAATACCTTGATTACAGCAGTCCATTTGAATATATTTGAATCATCACAGATTAATTGGATATCTGGGTCGGCTGACTTTTCTCGCTGCACCTCCTTGTACTCCTTGAAGAGCCTAGCTCTAGATGCCTATAGACCGAAGACATTGTCAGAATGTTTTAAGAACCAAGGTTATCATTGCCTGAGAGCAACAGGAAACAAATAACATCACTAAACTGGGACGCAGTAGTTCTGATTGTGGCTGTTGAGATCGATACTAATTTGTTCCAAAAAGCTGCTGAATAAGACTACCTAAGCTGTATTCAGACATTAGGCAATACCATCCAGCTAGGGCTAACAGGTGTAATCAAGTAGCCTCAGTAAGCGACTGGTGATCACCACCACCTGAACCTGGGAATAATTTTGTTAACCTTCTGCCTCATGTTATTATGCGGAAACTTTGGATTTCAGTTGAATTGTTGATCGAATCCGAGCTCCTATCAATGTTACATAATAGTGCCTCACTCAAACTTACTTTTGCTTATGAATATACAAGGTTGGTTAAATCTGGTAACAATTGGTTGGTCAGGTGTGGACCCGTGCAGTATTTCTATTTCTGCACCATTACTACCTAGGGTGAGTTCAATCTCTTCTTCATAGACTTGCTTTATGGAACTCCATTTGTGACTATCCTGTTCTGGCATATCACCGAGCATAGTTTACTTCTTGGCTGATCACCAAGCATAGTTTAACTCTTTCTTGAGAGAATTCCTTATTTAACACTGTCTTAAAACTTTTTGCCCTATTTAACACTGCAAAAAAATTTCTTCCCTATCTAACAATGCGTCTAAATTTTATGCCCTTTATGACACTTTTGTCCATTTTAAGCCTTAAGTGTGTTAAATGACACCTGAAAAGACGTTTTTGCCCCTCATGTGATATGTGATACAACGAGTGGGGCAGCTCGCTACCGAATCTAAATAGAAAGGCTGTCGAGTAGGCGGAGGCATGCGGAGCGCGGCGCCATTGCACTTGCACCCTGCATGCGCGCGTGTTGACCGAGTCCACGAGCTGGTCCTTGTGTATGGAGTGGAATCCGGTTGAGTCCATTTTGGTCAGGGGTATCTTGCTGTCTGGCAAAGACGTGCGCGACGCCTTGCCCAGGTTGCCTCTTGCCAGGACGTGCGGCCGAGGAGCTCGACCACAGGGACGGGGCATGTACTGTAGTCGACAGCTCATCGACGTATTCCAGATGACCAGTTCATATTATACAAGGGGCAAAACTGTCTTTTTACATGCAATTTAATAATGTTAGATGAAAAAATAGACAAAAGTGTCATGAAAGGCATAAAATATAGACCCCGTGTTAAATAGGGAAGAAAAAGTTTTCTAGTGTCAAATAAGGAAACACATTTTAAAGTAGTGTCAAATAAGGAATTTTCTCTTCTTTCTTCATGCGTGCACAGACGCTTGGGACATTGTTATTGCTATGATAATGAAATCCAGCCGGGGTGTCCTTTGGAGAAAAATAAACGATCGAGTGACAAGAAGTGTTACCTTGGTTTTAACTACGGACAAGTTTCACTAATTATGGCATGTTACAATTATAATAGGTTGTCGATTAGGCATGCCCCGATAATTTAGTTGTTAATTTTATTATGAATATCAAAACATGATCTCCAGCAGCACAACTACAAGTCCAGTCTGCAGAATGACACACTTGTTCTGAAAAATAACAGTTACTGAACAGATCGATAATTAAGCTACTAGTATCGCAAGACAACTGCATTTTATTCATAGTAGTGTTCCCAGCAAAGAAACATAACTAAATAACATGGGGTCATCGAAAGAGCTGCTATATGGAGTTAACTTTTGTTACTTGTTACTTTTCCTATATCGATAACATGCTACCAAAGATGCTTTGCTTCGTCCTACTGTTTTGTATCCCCTATTCTTTGATAATATGCTTTTCTGAACATATTCTGATGATAACACCTTTGGACGCCAACGCATGGCCGCAGAACATAGCTTGTAGAAGCTCATGTAGGTTGCAGAGTGTTGCTTTATCTCTTTCTTGCAAACCATAACTTTGTTTACTAGTTAATTTTCTAGCTGCTTTATCCGTAGGCTGTAGTGTTGCTAACATTTTCTTTTGTTTTGCCAAATCTTTTGCAGCCTGTCACTTATCTTTCCTCTCATGCCTGCCATTTGATCTTATAGGAACTGAGGCTGCGCCAAGGAACAAGGGATCTGCTGGTGGCATGAACTCGTGGTGGTCTACGCGTGTTGCTTTTGATGTAGAATCCTGTCGAGAGGCAGGGGCTGCCTAGTTATTTCTATGTCAAGAGGCAAACGCTGCCTAGAAAACTGTCGAGCCTCAAGAGGCCGGCGCTGCCTAGTTAAAAAGGACTGTAAAACTATCATATGGTAGAAATGTTATTGACTAGTATAAAAGTTTGCATGAATTGGGAATTTGACAAGAATTTTGGTTGGTCTGGGTTGCCCTATCGTGAACCTCCCACTAGCTCTTGGGTCATACACTAGACTGAACTGACAAGGTTGGACATCGTGGAACGCCCTAGGCCTAACTAAATCACTGATGCTAGTCAAGAGATGAGTGGCTGACCTGCATCTCCCCTCCTCGCTGGACGACGGCCGCGGGGCTGAATCGACGAGCGTATCTGCCAGAAAACAGAGGGCAGATCAGAAAATCTCGACTGGGTCACGATACCGGTGCTTATAAACAGAAAAAGAAAATGTCTCGGTGACATGAACAGAGACTCCGCAGGAACAGGAATATTCTTATCTCATCTTGGACGCCTTGCTACCTAGGGATCTAGATGGTGGGGTGCCGTGCGCGCGCAGAAATCGTGGAGGTCGGTGGGTGCTTAGCTAATCGCTGGACGGTAACAATCGAACAAGCTCGTACGTACCTCCAAGCGGCCTGAGATCGCGGACGAGGCGGCGACGGACGGGGCGCGACCTACGTCGCGGCGGGGAGGGGGCGTGAGAGGCGGCGGCGGCGGCAGG